ATGTCTTTCCTCCTACCATCAGTTTTCAGATATTATTATCTCCTCTTCTTTATCAATTATCTTTCTTTTTTTTTTTCCCCACGTGTCTTCTTCTTTTTTCCATTATGTGCTTATTTATTTATCTACTTATTAACTTTCTTTTTCTTCACTCGTCTCATTTTCTTCCCTCTATTTGGTGACGACTCGGCATGATTCCGAACTAAATATTTACTCTGGAGCTGATGATTTTTTTCTTCTTCACAGCGACAACAGTGACTAACCACAAAACAAGGGGAAAAGGTAAAAATGACATGTGTACGTACACAAGCTCAAATATCCATACATGCCGGCTACTCGTTTCTAAGCACACTCTAGTCAGGGAGGCTAGCCAATCCCTGTTGCAGAAGTCTGTTCAGGCATATCTGTGTTGGTACAATGTGGTTTATACTGCAACTATGCTGAGCGGACGAGTTACAGTTTCTAGGAGAAAGCGCATAAACTTGCGTGATCAACAGTATGTCCAATCTCTCAGTCATGATGACTTGTAACTTTGTGCTATTTCACTCACAAGCCCTGGGATCAACTCGTGGTATGTTTTTTCGGGGCCCCGGTTCATAAAGGTGAATGTCATCTGGCTTCACCGAAACCGTTAGATTGAATCTTCGTCGAAAGGTTCAGTGCACCGAAAAATTGAAACGTAGAAAATTAAAAGGAGATAACTTATATCTGAATGATGCTTTTCTTAAATTATCGTCGATGTCATTGTTATTAATTTCTGATAATGAAAGATTGACAAGTCAGTTGGTTTGTTGAAGTGGATTATTTAATGTTGAAATAAGTTGAAACCAGGAAATTGATAGTCTTTGTTTCAAGCAATGAAAATAAAATATAAATTTAAAAAAAAGATTAAAATATAAATAATAAAATAAAGGCAAACTTGGAATGTTAAAAGAACAGTTTTTCTATTGACATCGCTTTTATTTTAACTATCTTCACTCCTTCGGCAATGTTTATTGTTTTAAAAAGCGATGATTAAAATTTTTATAAAACCTAAACATATAAATGTAAATTTATACATTTTTTTCTTCTTGAGAATTTACAACAAAAATATTAAACACTATTTATTTATTAGATTGTTTATTTACAAAATTAATTTTATATTTACAACATCTTAAAAATTAATACAATTGTATAAAATAATGCAATGTAATATTTATCAGTTTATAAAGAAATATGAAAACAATTTTTTATTCATAAATTTATAAACATTTAGTAAATTATTAAAATATGTGAACCAACTATAACGAAATCCTTATTTACCATTTTATAAAGTTCGAATCAGTTAGCAAATAGCCGATGTTTTACCAACCATTCCAATAAACAAAAATTTAATAAATAAATGGTGTTAACAAGCATTCTATTATTTTAGTTTATTATTTTTGTTGTCGATTCTCAAGAACAGAGAAAATATATAAATATCACTTTCATATATTTAGGTTTTATTACATCGTCGCTTTTTAAAACAATAAAATTACTGAAGAGTGATGGTAGTTTAAATAATAGCGGTGTCAAGGAAAACCCCATCTTTTTGACATTCCGTTTTTTTTGTTTTTTTTTTTGCGGGAAAGAAGGTCCAAAATAAATCTATTGAAAGATAAAAGAGTAATATAAATTAATACGGAAGACATTTTTAAATATTTAATTTACTCGTGCCTGTCTTTTGGATCGGACAAATATTTAAATGGGTTTGTTTTTTTGTAATTTTTTAATCGTTTTTAAATATTTCTAGAATAAAACCAAAATATTAAGCCACATTATTACATGAATGAAAACTTCAGCGATGAAAGCTATTCATTCAGCATAATTTAAAAAATAAACCCCAAAAAACAGTTATTTATTTTTTTTTTTTAGATAAGAGGTTTGTCTGTATATTTATTTGCAGATCACATTCTCTGGAAGGAAGTATGATTTCCCGAGGTTATCTGGGTATTTGTAATCTTTTATCTGTACCTTTTCATTTATTTTGAATTAATTTTTTTTCAGAGTTTTTTTTTTCTTCGCTAATAAATCTTTAAGAGATGTGGGTCGTGTAAGGAATATCGGCGCCAGAAGTGGAATCGGCGAACAAAGTTCAAATTCCGGCAGCCTGGTGATAGAAAGTCTTTAACATTCTGGAGGTGATTTTATTTGCAAAGCAAAAGTTTTACCCTGCCACTGCAAGTGACTCAGATGAATGAATAATAGCATGTTTAAATTTTGCAGTTGTGTTGTCGTATCTTGCTATGGCAACAAAAATGAAGTAGTGCAGAGGAGCCTTGAAAAACAATGCAGTGGAAAGGAAATTAGGGAACAATACAGTGTGTTAAAGGTTAAAGAAAAATGTGTTTATGGGCGACTAACAGAAAAGGTTTTTAATTAGGGGACAAAATTTATTTAATAAGACTTTCGATCTCTAGGCCGGTAGACATTCATTTTTCTGTGTTGCTGTCTTTCTGTTATTCTTCTGTAATTTACTCCTGACATCTTTTCTTTTCTATCTTCTAGATCTATTGCAAAGATCGTTCACCTGGTCAAGCAACTTAGCTCTACTGAGGTCGCCCATAGCAAAAGCTGCTCCGGAAAAGGTTCCCTCAAAGCGATATATGGGTTCCTGCTGATGAGCGACCGTCATTTATCCTCCATATGCAAGCAAAGAAAATGAGAAAAAGTCGTTTTCTACGCATTAAGCAAGAAGTTGCTGGGTTTTCTAGATCAATAGTTTATTTTTAGGTGAATCATAAAATACAACAATCCTTCGATGATAGTTCAACAATTTTGAAACAATGAAGACAACTTTGATTAGAAATGGAATTCACTTAATTTTTTGGAGTGCTTCAACTAAGTGTTTTGGTGCTGTTAAGCATAGCTTAGTCTGGAAAAGACTTGGGATTATTATTACACACACACACACACACACACACACACACACACACACGCGCGCACGCGCACGCACGCACATATATATGAATATAATATATCGCACATTTCTATAGATTCTAGGTCCGTTTATTTTTATATAAGTACCCGCATACCGAGGTGCAAGGGAAAAGCACACTTAGCAAAATTTTGCAAGGGTATATAAAGGTATTTAAATGTTATGAAATAAAACCACAGATTTAAAAAAATATATACAAAATTATGAATTTTATTTCAAAGTTTCTATTCAACTATTTTTGCAACTATTTTTAGTGTGAAACCTGTGCCTGGTGTTTTTTCACGATTTCTTCAATATTTGGTTGAATGTGAAATAAGCAGACTCTCATTTCTTCTTCAGTTGAGCGTAGTCTTTCTTGCTTCTTATTTTTGATATTATTTAGGGTTAAGAAACCTAATTCACATAAATAAGGTGTAGAAAATTGCAATAAAACTGATAAACTCATTTTAGCTAATTGTGACACCTATTGGGGCGTTCTGGGGTTGACTTTTAGTTACTGCCATCATTATGTGACCCGGTCGATCGGCGGGAAAGGGTTATCTCAATCCTCTTCTTCCCACTCACTGAGCTCTTCTTCTCGTTCAGGGTGTTTTCCTTAAAGAACTTCATTACAGGATTTCCTTGCTTTTCTCTTTCTTCTCTTTGGACGTAAAGGCGAGGTGGTGACATCACAGGGTCCCTTCTGTATCGACCGAACGTCGCTGGCCCCTGCCGAGAGAACCAGCTCTGTCATTCGGATCGCTTTGTCCGGATGGATAAGTTGATCTATCTCTTCATTTTCTTTGGAATCCTCTTCCGTCTCCATTTCTTCTGATTCAACTAGAATTACTTTCCTTGTTCTCGCCTTCTTAGACCTTGGCTCACTCATTTTCAGATCAGCTATTTCAGCTTTCTTCAGATCATTGGCATGGGCCCTCCTTGCCTGTCTTGCCATTTGATTCCATATTACATATGATACTGGACCCGTCTTCACTACTATCCTGGAATATGACTCCCATCTCTGGTACAGTTTTCTTTTTCTCAGGTGAATCTTGTAGTATACAGGGTCTCCAACATTGAATTCTAGTACTTTTCTTCCCGCATTCACCTTCTCATTTCTTCTCTTCTGTGCCCTGTTTATTCTTCTTCTGGCCTGTGCAAATATCTTTTGCTGTTGTTCCAATAGCAGCTGATGATGATCTCCCATATACCTTCTTCGGGGCTTCAACAAGTTATCTACAGTCATGACCACGTCTCTGCCAGACAACATAAAGTATGGCGAAAATCTAGAGGTTTCGTAAACCTCACAGTCGCCAATGCTTGCGTCAAGTACAGATCCCATTTTTCTGTATTATTTTTTTAGCCAGTTTGACTAATACATCTCCCAAGGTTCTGTGAAACCTCTCTACTCCAGCGTTTCCTGGGGGGGGGTGATATGGAGATGTTTTTATGTGCTCTATATTCAGCACCTCCCTCATTATACTGTTTATATTCTCCGGGCCATTATCAGTAACAAGTTGCACAGGAGCACCATACCTAGTGAAGATCTGGTTCTCCACAAAAACAGCACCTTCTTGATAGGCAGTTTGCTTCAAAGTGTCGACCTGACCACATACCCAACATCACATAACTTTTCTACTTATATGGGCCACCCTGCCTCTTACGTCTGGGCGGCAAACTGGCTTTTCCATGGTCCTGTCTTTCAGGTGCAGCCTTCTTCAATAATATTGGTGGGGCACTCTTCTTTATTCCGCAACACTTATCTAGGTGTCCTTTCTTCCCGCACCTAGTGCACTTATATAGGTGTCCTTTCTTCCCGCATCTAGTGCACTTATCTAGGTGTCCTTTCTTGCCGCACCTAGTGCACTTAACTAGGTGTCCTTTCTTCCCGCAACTAGTGCACTTATCTAGGTGTCCTTTCTTCCCGCACCTAGTGCACTTATCTAGGTGTCCTTTCTTCCCGCACCTAGTGCCCTTATCTAGCTGTTCTTTCTTCCTGCACCTACTGCACTTATCTAGGTGTCCTTTCTTCCCGCATCTAGTGCACTTATCTAGGTGTCCTTTCTTCCCGCACCTAGTGAACTTATATAGGTGTGTCCTCTTCTCGCACCTACTGCACTTATCTAGGTGTCCTTTCTTCCCGCACCTACTGCACTTATCTAGGTGTCCTTTCTTCCCGCACCTAGTGCACTTATCTAGGTGTCCTTTCTTCCCGCACCTAGTGCACTTATCTAGGTGTCCTTTCTTCCCGCACCTAGTGCCCTTATCTAGCTGTTCTTTCTTCCCGCACCTACTGCACTTACCTAGGTGTCATTTCTTCCCGCATCTAGTGCACTTATCTAGGTGTCCTTTCTTCCCGCACTTAGTGCACTTATATAGGTGTCCTTTCTTCCCGCACCAAGTGCACTTATCTAGGTGTCCTTTCTTCCCCCACCTAGTGCACCTATCTAGGTGTCCTTTCTTCCCGCACCTAGTGCACTTATCTAGGTGTCCTTTCTTCCCGCATCTAGTGCACTTATCTAGGTGTCCTTTCTTCCCACATCTAGTGCACTTATCTAGGTGTCCTTTCTTCCCGCACCTACTGCACTTATCTAGGTGTCCTCCCTTCCCGCACCTACTGCACTTATCTAGCTGTCCATTCTTCCCGCACCTAGTGCACTTATATAGGTGTCCTTTCTTCCCGCACCAAGTGCACTTATCTAGGTGTCCTTTCTTCCCGCACCTAGTGCACTTATCTAGGTGTCCTTTCTTCCCGCACCTAGTGCCCTTATCTAGCTGTTCTTTCTTCCTGCACCTACTGCACTTATCTAGGTGTCCTTTCTTCCCGCATCTAGTGCACTTATCTAGGTGTCCTTTCTTGCCGCACCTAGTGCACTTAACTAGGTGTCCTTTCTTCCCGCACCTAGTGCACTTATATAGGTGTCCTTTCTTCCCGCACCTACTGCACTTACCTAGGTGTCCTTTCTTCCCGCATCTAGTGCACTTATCTAGGTGTCCTTTCTTCCCTCACCTAGTGCACTTATATAGGTGTCCTTTCTTCCCGCACCTACAGAACTTATATAGGTGTCCTTTCTTCCCGCACCTAGTGCACTTATATAGGTGTCCTCTCTTCCCGCACCTACAGAACTTATATAGGTGTCCTTTCATCCCGCACCTACTGCACTTATCTAGGTGTCCTTTCTTCCCGCACCTAGTGCACTTATCTAGGTGTCCTTTCTTCCCGCATCTAGTGCACTTATCTAGGTGTCCTTTCTTCCCTCACCTAGTGCACTTATATAGGTGTCCTTTCTTCCCGCATCTAGTGCACTTATCTAGGTGTCCTTTCTTGCCGCACCTAGTGCACTTATCTTGGTGTCCATTATTCCCGCACCAAGTACACTTATCTAGGTGTCCTTTCTTCCCGCACCTAGTGCACTTATCTAGGTGTCCTTTCTTCCCGCAACTAGTGCACTTATCTAGGTGTCCTTTCTTCACGCACCTAGTGCACTTATCTAGGTGTCCTTTCTTCCCGCACCTAGTGCCCTTATCTAGCTGTTCTTTCTTCCCGCACCTACTGCACTTATCTAGGTGTCCTTTCTTCCCGCTCCTGGTGCACTTATATAGGTGTCCTCCCTTCCCGCACCTACTGCACTTATCTAGCTGTCCATTCTTCCCGCACCTAGTGCACTTATATAGGTGTCCTTTCTTCCCGCAACTAGTGCACTTATCTAGGTGTCCTTTCTTCCCGCACCTAGTGCACGTATCTAGGTGTCCTTTCTTCCCGCACCTAGTGCCCTTATCTAGCTGTTCTTTCTTCCTGCACCTACTGCACTTATCTAGGTGTCCTTTCTTCCCGCATCTAGTGCACTTATCTAGGTGTCCTTTCTTCCCGCACCTAGTGCACTTATATAGGTGTCCTCTCTTCTCGCACCTACTGCACTTATCTAGGTGTCCTTTCTTCCCGCACCTACTGCACTTATCTAGGTGTCCTTTCTTCCCGCACCTAGTGCACTTATCTAGGTGTCCTTTCTTCCCGCACCTAGTGCACTTATCTAGGTGTCCTTTCTTCCCGCACCTAGTGCCCTTATCTAGCTGTTCTTTCTTCCCGCACCTACTGCACTTACCTAGGTGTCCTTTCTTCCCGCATCTAGTGCACTTATCTAGGTGTCCTTTCTTCCCGCACTTAGTGCACTTATATAGGTGTCCTTTCTTCCCGCACCAAGTGCACTTATCTAGGTGTCCTTTCTTCCCCACCTAGTGCACCTATCTAGGTGTCCTTTCTTCCCGCACCTAGTGCACTTATCTAGGTGTCCTTTCTTCCCGCATCTAGTGCACTTATCTAGGTGTCCTTTCTTCCCACATCTAGTGCACTTATCTAGGTGTCCTTTCTTCCCGCACCTACTGCACTTATCTAGGTGTCCTTTCTTCCCGCACCTAGTGCTCTTATCTAGGTGTCCTTTCTTCCCGCACCTACTGCACTTATCTAGGTGTCCTTTCTTCCCGCACCAAGTGCACTTATCTGGGTGTCCTTTCTTCCCGCACCTAGTGCACCTATCTAGGTGTCCTTTCTTCCCGCACCTAGTGCACTTATCTAGGTATCCCTTCTTCCCGCACCTAGTGCACTTATCTAGGTGTCCTTTCTTCCCGCACCAAGTGCACTTATCTAGGTGTCCTTTCTTCCCGCACCTAGTACACCTATCTAGGTGTCCTTTCTTCCCGCACCTAGTGCACTTATCTAGGTGTCCTTTCTTCCCGCATCTAGTGCACTTATCTAGGTGTCCTTTCTTCCCGCATCTAGTGCCCTTATCTAGGTGTCCTTTCTTCCCGCACCTACTGCACTTATCTAGGTGTCCTTTCTTCCCGCACCAAGTGCACTTATCTAGGTGTCCTTTCTTCCCGCACCTAGTGCACTTATCTTGGTGTCCTTTCTTCCTGCACCTAGTGCACTTATCTAGGTGTCCTTTCTTCCCGCACCCAGTGCACTTATCTTGGTGTCCTTTCTTCCCGCACCTAGTGCACTTATCTAGGTGTCCTTTCTTCCCGCACCTAGTGCACTTATCTTGGTGTCCTTTCTTCCTGCACCTAGTGCACTTATCTCGGTGTCCTTTCTTCCCGCACCAAGTGCACTTATCTAGGTGTCCTTTCTTCCCGCACCAAGTGCACTTATCTAGGTGTCCTTTCTTCCCGCACCTAGTGCACTTATCTTGGTGTCCTTTCTTCCTGCACCTAGTGCACTTATCTAGGTGTCCTTTCTTCCCGCACCCAGTGCACTTATCTTGGTGTCCTTTCTTCCCGAACCTAGTGCACTTATCTTGGTGTCCTTTCTTCCCGCACCTAGTGCACTTATCTAGGTGTCCTTTCTTCCCGCACCTAGTGCACTTATCTAGGTGTCCTTTCTTCCCGCACCTACTGCACTTATCTAGGTGTCCTTTCTTCCCGCACCAAGTGCAGTTATCTAGGTGTCCTTTCTTCCCGCACCTAGTGCACCTATCTAGGTGTTCTTTCTTCCCGCACCTAGTGCACTTATCTATGTGTCCTTTCTTCCCGCATCTAGTGCACTTATCTTCGAAGTCTGGGGGCAATTCCCACTTCTTCGGAAAGACCACGGTTCTATGGTCACCGTAACCACATGTCCAGTAGACTAGTCCGTACCGTCCGGGCGTGGGCTTAAAAAACTATGTCTTGTTGACCAGGCCTTTCTCCTGGGATCCTCTTCCCATTCTTCAGGCACTATCCAATTCTCTCTCGACCCTTTGATTCTGCGTCGGTGTTCTCTATCCTTCCCTCTTCCCGCCTACTCTCGACCTTGTCCTTGTGCCTTCCTATTCTTTACCTTCTCCCAAACTCCCTGGCTTTCCTCCATTTCCTGCCAATAACTTTATTGGTCCTTCTTTAAGGACATCGTGGCGAATACACGCGTCAGAGAGCGCTTCTGTATACAAATAGGTCAACTAGGCCTGCATTACTGCACTGTTTTTCACATCTTCCGGAAAAGCTAACGTGGCCAGCTTCTCTGTTCGGGTCCCTAGATTTCCTGGGGTTTCATTCCTAACCTGTATCAGCTTCAGGAGGGCCCTCATAGCCTTGATCGCTGTTCCTTCGTCAGCGAACTCCTGAGTTAATAATTCCTCCAGCCTTTCTTATGTTAATTGGGGTTCACCCGTTAAGAGTCCCTTCATAAACTCTGACGCCTTCCCTCTCGTGGCATAGTATGCTAGGTGCAGGGTTTTTCGGTCCGAGAGACCGTAAACTGTACGGCTCTTATCTATTGTTGCCAACCATTCTCTCAATTCTTTAGAATTCCCGTTATAGGCCGGAATCTTAGGTCCGCCTAACAATCTTCTTAGGTCCACTGGCAACTGTTGTTCTACCCCATCTTCCTCTATGTCTATCCTATCAGATTCGTGATCAGACATTTTTATATAAATAAAAAACAATCGAGGGCAGCAACAATCGAAAAAATATTGGGAGAAATAAACAAAAAGTGTCCTACCTGTCTGTCGATTTTCAGGTCGTTCTTCTCTGCTTGTCTGTTGGTCTTCGGGTTGTTGAGCGGAGAGAAAAAATCTAGAATATTCGGAACCGTATGGCTATAATTAACCAAAGTCCTTTGGTTCCCATTCTATTTTGTCTCCGTTGGTCTAGATGAGATGCTGTGAGCTGTCCTGGGGCTAAATTCTTTGGTTCACGACAACTCTTGTGACAGTAGTCAGTCCGGGGTCACATCATGTGGTCGCGACACCAAGCTGTGACACCTACTGGGGCGTTCTGGTGTTGACTCTTAGTCACTGTCACCCGGTCGATCGGCGGTCGACGCTACCCGGCGGGATCCTTTGGTCAGGGTACCAAATGGGATGGTCGGTCGATTTTAACGGCACGAATACGTAATGGCTTCACACCAGATGCAACCGGTTCGACACCAATGATTGGTTACCGAAGTAACTACTTCGATCTCAAATCTAGCCTACCCACGTCGTGATTTTGATCTTAGGTAGATCAATCAAACACCGGGGCCGTCGTGCAAGGTGGGTCTAAACTGGAGGTGACGGCGTACAAGTAAAAAGAAATAAATGAAAAACAAAAAGGTTCGGGTATGTTTCAAGAAAGAAAATCAACTTATATACACACTCCTGTTATATATTGGAGTATGTTTTCTTCCCAACCCGTTTCTTCTGAGAGTCACACTTTTATACTTCTAGACAAGTTCTGGTCTTCTAAGTCAACTTGATTTAGTTTTTAGGCGTTGGCTTAGCTTCGTTCGTCCGTATATAACTTGCTGTTTGTAGAAAGGCGAATTTGAAGACTCTCGCATCGGCAGGAATCGTGGAATCTCTCGGTTAGCTGTACGCGGCAACTCTCTGGCTCCTGCTCGCGGCTACTGCTCCAACTGACTAACGGATTTCCCGAGGGCATTCGCTTATATGGACTTCAACCAAAACCCGGTGCGGGGTTAGACGCAGGCTGGGATTTTCGGTGAATCCCCGATTTCCAACAAGGGTTCCTTTGTTGTCTAGCCAAGAAAATTAATTACGTCCTATTTTTGGAAAATTAATTACTTCTTATTTGTGGGGGGATCCCTTCGTCCGTGAGGAGAGGTTGCAGGATAGCTATCCTCCTAAACTCCTTCCTCCTCATATTGGTACCTCACACCAATTCTTTTCGGTGGGCGTTAGTAACTTCTCCGTCTTTCTTACTATTTCACTTCCGTCTATCACCACTGCTACCACGCAACCAATAACATCTTGGTCTTGCTGGTGTGGCTAGGCTTGCTTCATTAATTAACACTTTGACATCTCTGCTTATTCAGGATTTCTTATCCTGTTCCCAGATCGTGAGCAGTTTAGAATTATCAACTGGAATTTTATTTACGCAAACTCTTTTTGCACCCTGCCAAAATTTCTACAATTAACACATGGCCCTCTCGTCTGGCTATTTCCTCGGCCATATTACCTGTTTACACAATATCTATGCACTCTCGAACGATAGATCGCATCTTCGTCGATTCTGGTTATTTTGTGTTTTCTTAACCAGCCCTTTTAACGACTATCATCAATCAACTGTCAGAGATCGCCACATTGCCTTTTCGTAAAATTATCGTTGACGCAATTCTTCAATTTCTTGAGAAGAATAGACTTTTCGAAAAAATAAAATCTTCTTATATTGGTCGGCATATTCGTCGTTATATCTCTTAACCCCTCTTTCCTGTTTTCAGCATTTCCCGTTCAATTTTTATGGTTAATTAATTACCATAGCTAAATATTGTCACATAATTGCTTTTGTATTGAAACCTAAATGGGTATCAATTGGCACGGATGAATGTTTTATTTTGAGCCCTCGATCACTAGAAATAGTTGCCAATTCTTGTTCTTCACATAACTGAAGTCCAATATTAGAAGGAACATTTATGACCTTACTTGAAAAAAAGTTTAATACATATTTATTTATTGAAATACTAACACTGTACCATTACTACTTCCACACACACATATATATATATATATATGTATATCGTGACAATATTTCGTGTCACGCTTAATTAGATCGGCACACGGCGGGTGAGAATCACTGAGGTAACCGTCGGCCGAATTCTTTGCGTTCACATTCACACAAACTGCCTTGGGAAAAGTAGGGATCCAAATTCTTGGAAAAGTAGCGATCCATTTCTTGGAAAAGTAGGGATTCAATTCTTCACAACCCTAGCCTTTAATCAAATAGTAAGTCAGAGTTGGCAGTCTCTATCCGCAGTTTGTAAACAAGTCTGAATTCGAAACTGTGTTCAGCCCTGACAAGGCGCATACTATAGAGCTTTTGATGATGAACTTAACAACTGCGACGTGGCTTTGCGGATTCTATGATGTCGACATTGTGGCCGTAATATCGATTTGAAAACTAAAAATAGATAAAATAACATTTTGAAGAAAGTTAATTCCAATGAAAACTATGAATAATCAAAAAGAGAATCTAATAAAAAAAACTTACTGAAATTTAAACGTTTTTTGTTTTCTTAAATTTAAATGAATGCTAGAAATATAAGCAATCGATATTCGTATTTTCTGTAACTGCTTAAGATGAGTTGAGTCATTAGAATACTTTATTATGCAATAAAAATAAAAGCTATAATAAAAAATTGAAGACTATCCAAGTTTGGGGTTCGAAAATTATCGTATGCCTAAAATAACATTTTCTTCCTATTACATGATTAGAAGTGTTCACTACAGATGTGAAATTCGGAAATTCGGCCTTCTTTGTGTAGTGGACTGTTCTGGTGGCACAGAAAAATAGAAAATAGTTACTTACACGAAAGATATATATATATATATATATATATATAGGGATACACATTGCGTTATATATATATATATATATATATATATATATATTAAAGAAAAACAGACCACTTTAAGGCTCCATTGTAATAGTTTTAGCCTTAAAGTGGTCTGTTTTTTCTTTAAATTATTAACTCTGAATTGACAGTGAGCTCTCAGAATTTCATCCTCCTTGGGACTACCTATACAGATTACCAAGTTTTTCGTAAATTAAAATATATATATATATATATATATATATATATATATATATATATATATGTGTGTGTGTGTGTGTGTGTGTGTGACACGTGTGTGATAAAAAAAACAAGATAAAAAGAAATAAAGTGAACGAAAGAAGAGCAACTAAGTTTATAGTAAACAAAGTTAATATTTTATTATAATTTTAGTGATTTTGGTCAGTGACTAAAAAAAAAAAATATATATATAAAGACTTACCTACAAGAAGTTGGAAATATTTCCAAATAACTTCAGTCGGGAGTTGCCGGTTTTTGTGGTATAGTTTACATGTCAGGTCAGCGAGTGTTAGTAAACGGATGTACCCAGAAGCAGAGTTTTGCAATAACTGACTTATTTAGTTAATTTTGACACTAACCAACGAAAACGAATACGTGGATGAAAGACCTCCACTTTGTAAGGACATCAGACCACATCAAATGACCCGGAACTTGAAGTTTCATTAAAAAAAAAGATTCTCTTAAAAATCAGTCAATCAATCTCTCTCCTCTCTCTCTCTCTCTCTCTCTCTCTCTATATATATATATATATATATATATATATATATATATATATATATATATATATATTTGTGTATTTAAATAGAACATTCTCTTATAGGCATGTTTGACTGAATAAATTACAAATATTATATTTACTTATTTTTGTCAGAATCCTTTCATATTCACGAATATTTTCCCGTATATTGCAATTAAATAAGAAAGAAATGCAAGAAATGCACTGTAATAGTGAGAATCTATTTTATTTACCAAGTACTTTCCATCTCTTTCCGAGGTCATCATCAGGTGTGTGTGTGGGGTCAAATGGTAAAAAAAACCCATGTGTGGCTATCTATTACTGAATTTCTTCTTATGCGTTTAAATGCTATGGCTGACACTTATGCTTCAGCGTTCATTACAACGTGAAAAATTATCCATTATGGAAGTTTTTCT